TCCAGACAATACACTGAGGCGGAACAGGACTTTATCCACAGAGAGGCACAATTGTTTGCTTTTTTAGACTTTGATGGCAACCGTTTTTTCAGGAAACGGGTGTGCAGAGTTTCAAAGGGACTCAAGCAATCACTTCACATCCTAATAGGATAAAGCTTAAGCATAATTCTGTATGACCCTTCAACTGCCGATGTTCATGCCATGTTATTGTAAGTGTTGCATGTTAAGCAAGCAAATTTTCAATGAACTCGCGCTGGCTTTACCACAGACACAGATGTCAGGCGGACTCCTTTGTTCATAAGGTTCTCATTATTAACTCAACCCGAGCTGAATATTTGACTGAAGGAAAGGACCATATCATTATTTTCAGATTTCATTCTATGACATAACTGGGCTACAGCTGCCAGCTTTAGAAACACCAAGTGCTTCTTGGCGCCAGGCTTGGCATTCTCTTCTGTGACTATTACCCCAAATGCTTTAGCTTGAGGTAGTCTCCTTACCATCAGAACAATTTAATAAAGATTTACATTGTGATTAAGAGTTACTCATCAATTGACAAGGCATACCAAGCGTGCGTTATTTATGTATTATCCCACACAATATTTTAAGCCTCACAAATAGAATCCATTTTCATAAAAAGGTAATCTAGAAAGCCAGTTAAATGTTTTCATGATTTATGAAGTCTGTGTTATAGTAAGCTGGCATTCCACTGGATAATTCAATCTGCTTCAAATCTATTCTTAGGCTCTAGGTAGATTATGAGACATTATGAATATAAATTTAATTCCTCTATTCACCTTTGGGCAATATCGCTCAGCATAAAAGTGATAGCAGGGCATGACATAGGGATGCCCATCAATTGTAGGGAAGAATCAAATATTAAAATATTGAAACTAAAGTCATTTAGAAAAATGTTTTTAAAAAATCATGCTATCTGGGAACCGGCAGTTAGCATAATGGCTATGTCGCTAGACTCCCACGTAGTCGACCGTGGTTCGCATCCCGGACCCGGTGGCTTAAAACTCATGCCAGGCGCATGTGCATGCATGCCCAAGATTCCGAGAGGAGAATGGAGGAGAAGTGATTGCAGCGTGACCATCCCCCCGGGGGGTGATTTCTCGCTTTCTGTCTCTATGTCTCTCTCTGTCTGTCTGGTGAGCACACGTGCCCTATAGCGAAAACCTCTCAAAAAAAAAAAATCATGCTATCCAAACACAGAAAATATTTTATAAGCTTGGATAAAGACATATGTTAAATCAACAACATAAAAAAACTTATAAAGATCATACTATTACTATTTTTATGTGTCTGGACAACATCGAATAATATAAAGGGGTGAGAATAATTTGAGGACATCTTTAGTGGCTAAAAAAAATTAAAAAAAAAAAATTCACTCCCTGTATGTGTAGGAAAGCCCAGAGATTTACACTATAATTGTCCCAAATAAATGAAAGAGGGACAGTTTCCACCCTAAAGAGCTAGGCATAGTGACTTTGCTTTAGTGACACTTTTGGCATCCAATAATACTTTGAAGCAGGAAGACTTAGAGAGCAATGCTGCATGCTTTAAAAACATGCAAGGCAAATCTACATATTCAATGTAATCCTAATCAAAATACCAGAGACATTCTTCACAGATTTAGAAAAGACAATCAGAATCTGGAATGATAAAAGAACCCATATTGCCAAAGCAATCCTGGTCAAGAAATTGGAGTAGGAGGCATCTCACTCCTTGACCCCAAAATATATTATAAAACTGTGATAATCAAAACAGCATGGTATTGACACAAAAACAGACATATGAACCAATGAAACAGAATAAAGACCCCAGAAATAAATCCCAAAACATACAGACAACTGATTTTTGACAAAGGGTACCAGTCAATCCATTGGGGAGAAGGAAAACCTCTTTAGTAAATGGTGTTGGAAAAACTGGGTATCTACCCGCAGAAAGATAAACCTTGACCCCTATCTCTCACCATGAACAAAAATCAATGCAAAATGGATCAAAGATCCTCAAATTATAAAACTACAGGTAGAAAACACTGGGGAAACTCTGGGAGATATTGGGGTAGGCAAAGACTTCTTACATGAGACCCCAAAAGCACAGACAATAATCCAAAAAATAGGTAAGTGGGATTACATCAGATTAAGAAATTTCTGCATGGGGGATCAGCAGTTAGCATAATGGCTATGTCGCTGGACTCCCACATAGTCGACCATGGTTAGCATCCTGGACCAGTGGCTTAAAATTCAAGCCAGGCACATGTGAGTGCATGCCCAAGATCCCAAGAGGAGAATGGAGGAGAAGGGATTGCGGCATGGCCATCCCCCCTGGGGGGCGATTTCTCACTTTCTGTTTCTCTGTCTCGCTCTGTCTGTCTGGTAAGCGCACATGCCCTATGGCAAAAACCTCTCAAAAAAAAAAAAGAAGAAAGAAAGAAAGAAAGAAAGAAATTTCTGCATGGCAAAAGACATAGTAGTTAGTGTGAATTGACAACCCTCAGAATAGGAGAATATTTTTGTAAACTATGTCTCAAATAAGGGACTGACAACCAGAATACACAGGGAACTTAAGTGGCTTACCTGAAACAAAAACTGATTAACCCAATTAAAAGATGGGAAAATAAGCTGGGCAAAAATCTTTGAAAGATCAGAAAATGAGCTGAACAAAAAACTCTCTACGGAAGGTAAATGAGCAGCCAAAAAGCATATATGGAAAAAAAGGTCAATATCCCTCATCATAAGGGAGATGAAGATCAAAACCACAATGAAATACCACCTGATCCCAGTCAGAATGCCAACGATTAAAATAACAAAAAATGATAAGTGCTGGTGAGGCGATGGTGAAAGGGGAATTCTCCTATACTGTTGGTAGAAATGTAAATTGGTCCAGCCACTGTGGAGAACAATATGGAGGTTTCTCAAAGATCTAAAAATAGAACTACCACATGATCCAGCAATTCTACTCCTGGGTATCTACCCATAAAACAAGAGAATACTCAGTTGGAAAAGCGCTTACACATCTATGTTTATTGTGGCATTATTCGCAATTGCTAAGACATGGAGCCAACCCAAATGTCCACGAACAGAAGAATAGATTAAAAAGTGTGGCATATATACTCTATGGAATATTACTCAGTCATAAAAAAAAAATAAGATCCTGGCATTTCATAGAAAACAGACAGATATGAAAGACTTACTGATGAGTGAAACAAGCCAGGCTATGAAAGAGAGACATTGTATGTCTCTACTTAACATTTACCAACTATCCGCACTCTATGGTGGAAATTGAAAGACTAGATATAAAAAGATGAAAAATGGTTAGGGATACTGAAGACAGTGTGGGAAGATGGTGAGAGAAGGGGGAGAATATGAGGAAAAAATAGAGAACAATACACTTATGGGACAAAGAAATGGATTATTATCTGTTGATGATGTGCATAACCAGCAGTTAGCGTAATGGCTATGTTGCGGGACTCCCACGTAGTCGACTGCAGTTTGCATCCCGGACCCAGTGGCTTAAAACTCATGCTGGGCGCGTGTGCATGCGTGCCCAAGATCCTGAGAGGAGAATGGAGGAGAAGGGATTGCGGCGTGACCATACCCCCGAGGGGTGATTTTCTCACTTTCTGTCTCTATGTCTCTCTCTGTCTGTCTGGCGAGCGCATGCGCCCTGTTGCATAGTATCCTGAACTGGACTGGTGTGAATTGTATTCATGTTGAATAAATTCACTTTGTAAGCTAAGTGATGTATAGTGATTGAATGTATAAAATAAAATAAAACATACAAAACAAATGGTCATCCACCTCTTAAAAAGTTTTGCTTTCATTTCATTACTAAACTTGACAATCTAGCTTACCATTTGACATCTCTAATCATAAAATACAATTTGAACAACAACAGCAATTGAAACATGCTTCCCTATAACTCTTATGCTGGTTTAAGTTGATCTAGTAGAGAATTTTAGGTTTATTTCTTTATATTAGCTTATCAAACACTTGACACTCAAGGCTCAAACAAATTTTACCTCCTGTGGACTATCTTCTCCAGGTATTTTATTAATTTTTAAAGAATTATTTAATTTATCATAATTGTTATTTTTCTATTTGTTACAAGGCACATGCGCTCACCAGAGAGACAGAAAAAGAGAGAGGGAAAGGGAGAAAGCAAGCTACCCGGTCCAGGACTCAAACAGCAAGCTACCAGGTCCAGGACTCAAAAGGGAGTCCAGCACCCTTAAACACCACATCACCTGCTTGACCCTCAAGGTATTTCCAATGACTGTTTTTTAGTAACTCTGAGTATGGCAGAAGTAACTACTTCACGTAAGATTTAACTAGTTACAGAGCACAGTGGGACTAGTACTTCTTATAATATTAAATATTAATACAGATTAAATAATCTGCAATGAACTGAATGTTTGTGCTCCCCCTCTCAAATTTCATACACTGCAATCCTAACCCCTAACGAGATGGTGTTAGAAGGTGGGGTCTCTGGGAGGTAATTAAATAGATCATGAAGATAGAAACCAGGAATGGGATTGGTGTCCTTATAAAAGAGACCTGAGAGAATACTTTTGCCTTCTTTCTGCCACATGAGGATACAAGGAGGAGATGGCAGTCTGCATTCTAGAAGAAGGAGTTCCCCAGAACCTAACCATGCTGGCACCCTGCTCTCAGACTTGAAGCCTCCAGAACTGAGACGTAATCTTTTGTCTAGAAGCCACACAGCCTATGGTACTTTGTGATAGGAGCCTGAACTAAGATAATGTTATATGAAAATGAGACTCTTAGCAAGATATAGAACGAACAGAAAAGTCAAACCAATCGTAATCTGTATAGAAGCAATCATGGGAGAAAGTTTGGTAGCGTTATGGAAAATATACTAACCTCAATATACACAGGAATGCTAAGTTTGAAATTATTTTACTGCCAAATATCATAACCTTCATTCCAAATTTTAATAGTCAAAAGCTGAATTTTTATTTTTACACTTACCATGCTGTATGTCTTTCATATCTAAATGAAGACTAGACATTAATATCCCAACCGCTTGCGATCTTTTGTTGCTTAATAACTTGACAACCTGCTCAAGAAAGGAAAAGAGAAAATGTTCATTTCACCTCCAATTGTGCTTAATAAAAGTTTTTAAAATCCTAAATGAAGAACAAATTTTTAAAAAATAACCCTTATGTCATTATTTAAAATATTCAAGACTTTTTTATATTAAAAGAGAATTTCAGAGTTTTATATCATAAAATCTTCAAAATCTACTGTTTTCCCCCAAGCATTCACCGTCAGCCTCAAATTCAGGTTCTTCACCACTTTTTTAAGAGCCTGATCTGTCAATCAGTAAAATTTCTAATAGTGCAGGAAATTATCCTGGTGCCTGTAAAATAACAATTACACATTTGATCATTTGCAACCTGAGATGTAAAAAGTGTTCCTTTTTTAATGTGGAGCCTCGAAATCCTAGTCAACGAATGAAGGGCAAAATAAAACTACACACAGAGCAAATCTGTTAGGTCAGATCAGTTGGACCAGACAAGAGAAAATGTGCTTTCATTTGGGTCATGAAGAAGGCTCCCTATTTTACTGGCAGCTCTTCTGGTTCTGCATTTGGCCCATATTTTGTGGAGACCTTTCCAGTTAATTAACAGAGGGATACGAGCATCAGATTGAAAGCACCGCATCAGCTCAATCTCTTCTGGCTTTCCAGCGAGTCTTGAGGAATCAGTGCACACAATCCCCCGGGAAGGTTTCCTAAAGCAGAGGTGGGCAGGCTGTCACAGAACAGACGTGTTTAAACCATATTTTCCAGACAATCACACACCACCAATAAATCCTGCTTATGAAATTCTTTGCCCAGGTCCTGATCCGGTGAGGGGTAGCGATTTCTATTTACTCTCAGTGTTTTGTTTTAAATCTGCTTAGAAAAACACTGGAGGAAAGGAGGGGAAAATGGTTATAGTCAAATTATCAGAAGTGACAGCTGCCTTAACAGCTATCACATTTGTTGACCTTGTCTTCCTTTTTGGTTTAAGTTGGGTCAATCAGAAAACTAATAAAATAATTGTACCCAGGTGTCACACATAGTCACAGAGTAAAACAATATTCTTAATAGCAACAATAGTATTCTCAGGGCAGGGGTTGGGGAATAAAACAAAACAGTTTCAGAAGGACCAACCACAAAAATAACCCTGATCATTTCTGGAAGCTGGCTGCGGGAAAGGAAAAGGCCTCACGAGGCACTGCTTTCTCAAGGGAAAAAAAGTACATATGAGTTTTGATTCCAAATGTGTCCTTTAAATATTTTATTATTAAATGTCCACTAGAAAATTAGCTTAAGACTTGAATAAGAATTCATTAGTACAGCAAAGTACATCAAAGTATTGCCCTTTTCAGAGCAAAAAAAAAAAAAAAATAGAAATTTAATATTGGAAAAGCAGAAGGTATGTACTCTATTCCGAAAAAGAATTCACTTCAGACAAATGCAGTCTGGGTCCCATACGTGCTGTTCTGACAAAACTGTTTTTATTAACTTTCCTGTCATCTTTCAGTCCCTAGATGCACTGGGCACATTCAAATGCATATTACCATTTGTCTTCTGTAAGTGCTGACATGTTAATCACACCCTTACAGAAACTCTTGACTCCTGCTAGCTCTTTCCAATTCTTTCAAAGGCTAATTTTTCTGAATATTGGCATATCCCAGAGTTCTGTGTTCCATACCTTATTCTTTTCACTTTATGACCTAATATTTCTACCAGACAAACATATATATGCCTGCATCTTCAACTTCACAGTTTCCTACCTTCCTAAAAGACATAACCACATACATCCCCATTTGACAGGTGTAAAACCAAACTCTTATCAATTCCACCTCAAATCTACAACCAGCTTCTCTTGTTGAGATATGTTGAGATAGGGTACCACCATTTCTCCCTCCACCTGACAAGGTCAGAAATCTAAAAATCAATCTAGACTCCTACCTTATCCACCGCCGGCATACCCTTTTCCAGACAAAAAAAAAAAAAAATAGAAATTTAATATTGGAAAAGCAGAAGGTATGTACTCTATTCCGAAAAAGAATTCACTTCAGACAAATGCAGTCTGGGTCCCATACGTGCTGTTCTGACAAAACTGTTTTTATTAACTTTCCTGTCATCTTTCAGTCCCTAGATGCACTGGGCACATTCAAATGCATATTACCATTTGTCTTCTGTAAGTGCTGACATGTTAATCACACCCTTACAGAAACTCTTGACTCCTGCTAGCTCTTTCCAATTCTTTCAAAGGCTAATTTTTCTGAATATTGGCATATCCCAGAGTTCTGTGTTCCATACCTTATTCTTTTCACTTTATGACCTAATATTTCTACCAGACAAACATATATATGCCTGCATCTTCAACTTCACAGTTTCCTACCTTCCTAAAAGACATAACCACATACATCCCCATTTGACAGGTGTAAAACCAAACTCTTATCAATTCCACCTCAAATCTACAACCAGCTTCTCTTGTTGAGATATGTTGAGATAGGGTACCACCATTTCTCCCTCCACCTGACAAGGTCAGAAATCTAAAAATCAATCTAGACTCCTACCTTATCCACCGCCGGCATACTCTGATCTGACATGAAGTCCAGCCAAAACTGTATTGGGTTGTCAGGAAAGTCATGAAGCATTTTTGCATAGAAAAGCAGAGCAAAATACGTCATGACTTTCCTGGTGACCTAATAGCTCTTCTGTATCTGTATCCTCCTAACTTCTATCATCAGTCTTAGTTATATGTTATATCTTGTGTAGATCAAGGCAAACAATTCCTAACGGGTCTCCCAGTATCTAGTCCAATGATTCTCAAAGTGTGTTCCTTGGCCAGCAGGCACCATCATGACCTAAGAAATTATGAAAAATACAAGTTTTGGGGTCTTATCACCACCTCCTAATCAGAAAATCTAAGACTAGCAATTCAATAGGAAATAGCAAATGGTTCAAAGATGGCCTCAGAAACTTTAACCGAAACCTGGAAAATACAGAATCAACAAATGTGAAATCTACAAAATTAGAACATATAATCAGGAAAAAGAATAATTTTGAGTCTACCTAAAGTTACATCAAATTCAGCTGCTTTTCTTAATATGGTTATTATCTCAGACTTCCATAGGAGACAGGACTATGTAGAGGTTCTAAAAATGGATTCTATAAAATAAAGCAGTATCTCTCAAACTTTAAGTACACCTCAATCATCTGGGATCTTTTTAAAATGCAGTTCTTGACTCGTAAGTCTGGATGGTGCTAAGGTTCTCTGTTTTTCACAGGCTCCCTGGTGATTCTGGTACACAGATCATGAGGTTCTAAGAGTTTCCTCCTCACTTTCTAATGTGTCCTAGAACACACTCTAAACCTAATGATGTGTCCTACTCCAACTCTAAAATCTCAGTGTCTTCACCTCGAAAACAGTAACAGTGGGCCAGTGGAGGCAAGTTTGTTAAGGGGGCTGGATTCCACACAACCAACTGTTTGGTTTGGGTCCCAGACCCACTGGCTTGAAAAACGTGCAGGGCACCTGTGCACATGAGCCCAAAATTCCAGGAGGAAAATGAAGGAGAAGGGATTTCAGTGCGACCATCTCCCCTGAGGGGTGTTTTCTCATGTTCTCTCTATCTCTCTGTGTTTCTCTGGCAAGTACACGCACCCTATGGCAAATTAAAAATAAATAAATAAAATGAAAATAACAACATACTCTCAAAAGCTGTAGTGGATACTTAGCATAACACACCTGATATGCTTAGCAATATGCTGAACACATGTTTATTGCAACAAAAGATAGCTATAAAAAGTTTACAGGAGGACATTTCAAATGATTTTTCAAAAATAAAATGTTTGGCCCCTTCTAAAGTTGATTCACTCAGTCCACTGAAATACCAATTCATATATTTATACCAAGGGATAAAAAAAACATAGATTAATCACAAAGTTTGACTCTCTAAGGGAGAGTTAATTTCTTTTAAAAATGCTGACATTTATTAACTCAGAGTAGTTTTCGGTGGTTACAAATGATTTCTCCATTTAAATTCTCTTCTCTGACATTCTATCTTACCAATGACACATCTGCTTTGACCAGGTATAACATTTGGCCACGGAAGAGAATAAAACCAAGATGTATGAAAAACCAAACTTTCAGGACCCTAGTATACTTAACATAATTGATAAACTAACCCAGTACTGATAATTCATAGAAGTATGTATGATGATGAAAGCAGGAAGAATAATAGGAAGGTATTCACACATACTTTTGTAGATCACTGACTTATTTTTCTGTATTGATTAAATCCCATTGCCTGGTTAACAGTACATAGAAATTTCCAACAATGAAAGTCCCAAACTAGTATACAATAATTACATTAATAGGTACTGTAAAGATTAAGGTCAAATGCAAACTTACACTAGAAATACTAAAAAAGAAAAAAAAGCAATTTTCACCAACTTGAGTCTTGCTTTCTCAACTTCAACTCTATTCTGCAAAAATACACAATGAAATGACCAAGCCCAGTCCTAGTCTCCACTTTGCCTCTTTCTCCCAATGACCATTCTCCAACCCTTCCATCCTGACAAAGTGAAGCAGATAGAACATGGGTATGTTTAAACAGAGCCACAAGGTACAACAGATCAGGCTATGTTCTCAGGGAAGGAATGTCTTTCCCTAATTCTAACAAGGATCCCTTATAGTTTAGCTGCAATTCAATTCCAGCTCCACCAATGGCATACCCTCAGAGTCCTGACCTGTCAAGTGGAGGACATACTTCACAATGGTCCATGTGAGTATTACTGCAGATGTGACATGGTGCACCTACTCAAATGTGAGTGGCCAGTTACTGCCAGACTATAGACTGTATGTTCCCTGTCCATGAAGAGTTATGTATGTACAGAAATTAATAGCAAGTGTCAGAAACACTCATAATTTCCAAAGGGCACAGGAGCTCACCTGAGATAAAAAGACAAAGAGAAAGAGTAACAAATTCCCTAATGGACGTGGACACAGCTCAATTCCTTCTCCATTTCTCCATTGGAGATCTGGGGCATGC